AAAAAAAAAAAAAAAAAAAGGGCAGGTGAATGAGGATGAGGGTAAAATCTTAATTTTACTATATTATGCCAATGCCCCTCATTCCCTGCATCTTGACAGGTGTCTGTGCATATTCTAAGCCAGTGATTTTCAATCTGCATTCATTTGTGGACCCCTAAAAAATGTCAAATGGAGTGCAGCCCCTTTTGGAAATTTTGAATGGAGGTGTGGACCCCTTTGAATTGTAAGTGGGGGTATTTACATACTTATGACTGATCGCAGTCATCTTTTGTGGACCTCTTAGATGTGTTCTGTGGGTACCCAGGGGTCTGTGGACCACAGATGTTGAAAGCCAGTGTTCTTGGCTGACTTGATTCTTGCAGAGATCAGGAAAAACACAATTAAGAGTGTTATTTTTGTCATGCTTTCTAACAGATTAATAGATTGCTTAAGAGACTTTGGGCCTACAGACTGGCAGCTGGCTTGCTTGATATGCAAAACCCTGTGGAACTATAGTGAAAATATCACAAATGCTGCCTCCTGCTTTGGGGAAGAAGATATCAGCACACTGCTCATGCTACTTGCTTCTCTTTTAGGTAAGATTTTACAGGCTTGTTACCCTGTCTCAGGAAGCACAGCACAGCAGGAGAAAAACCAAGGATGGTTGTATATGCGTGAGTGCATGAAGCAGTTAGACTTCCATGGATTACCCAGTGACATCATAGATTTCATAGATTTTATAGACAACAGGGCTGGAAGGGACCTTGAAAGATCATCAAGTCCAGCCCCCTGTCCCAGGGGCAGGAAGTCAGCTGGGGTCAAAGGATCCCAGCAAGATAAGCATCCAAATGTTTCTTGAATGAGTCCAGAGTCCCACCTCTGGAGGGAATCTATTCCAGGCCGTGGGGGCTTGGACAGTAAAGAAGTTTTTCCTTATGTCCAGCCTAAAATGGTCTTGCAGGAGTTCGTGACCATTGGTCCTAGTTATCCCTCAGGGCACTCTGGTGAACAGACGTTCCCTCAGATCCCGATGTACACCCCTTATGTACTTATAGGCAGCCATTAGGTCCCCCGAGTCTGTACTTTTCCAGGCTGAAGAGTCCCATGGCTCTCAGCCTCTCCTCATAAGGCCTGTTCTCCTGCCCTCTGATCATGTGCATGGCTCTCTTCTAGACTCTCTGAAGCTCTTCCACGTCCTCCTTGAATTGTGGAGCCCAGAATTGGATGCAGTACTCCAGCTGTGGCCTCACCAAGGCCGAGCATAGCAGGAGAATGACATCCTGAGATTTACTTGAGAAGCATCTATGGAGTTTTGTTTGCTTCGCCAGCTGCGATATCACACTGGTGGCTCATGTTCATCTTGTGGTCATTCATGATCCCCAAGTCTTGTTCAGTCATAGTGCTAGCGAGTGTAGCAAGCCTATAAGCATGATGCGGGTATTTTTTCCCGGAGGGGGAGTACCTTGCATTTTTCGGTATTGAACGTCATCAAGTTTATATCCGCACACTTTCTAAGCCTATCCAAGTCAGCCTATCCTCAGGTGTGGACGCTCTACCCCAAAGTTTAGTGTCATTGGTGAACTTGGCCAGTCCACTTCTGACATCACAGTGGCCTCTGATCCTCTATGGTTGCTACTCTCCCCATGGTTTAATTGACTTTCCTGTATGTTTCACAAGTACATACTTGCCAAGATGCCTTCTTGCATGCATAATTGTCATTCTTTAGAATCATAGAAAATCGGGATTGGAAGAGACCTCAGGAGGTCACCTAGTCCAGCTCCCTGCTAGAAAGAAGGCCAACCCCAGCCATCTAGATACCATCCCCATTGCTAGTATGTTTCACTCTGTTTGCCCCAGCTGTACTATACATTTTTCATTGGAACTCGGCCTCTGCCCCTCCGGCGCAAATATAGGAATTTACAGCAGATGTTGCTCAGACATGCAACAGTTTTACTGAGTACCACCTTCTGCTTTCAGGAGACATGTCTACACGTGCATTAATGCGCCATGATTACAAATACTAACTTAGTGCACTGTAATCGGCACTACTGCACAGTAGCACCAGCAGACTTTTGTTTCGAATTACGTATGACTTGATTACCACATAATGTTGCAGTTACTGTATTTAAACTTCCCTATTTATTTTCACTCCTTTAGCTTTTTATTACATTTAATTGGAACCTTCTTACAATCGTTTTAAAAAAGAAATTTACAAAGAAATTATGAGATATATTTGGTCAATTTTTATTTATTTTTTTTTACTTTTATATTTTGAAAACGTGTGCAGTGTTTTGTTGCTAGGGAGAGGTGTGGGTGCTAGGCATAGATACTTGCAAGAGACATAGGCAACGCATAG